GTAGTACACCAAGCAGCATGCTTGTAGCAACAGTGGAGAGGAAACAGGAAGAAACCTCCAGCAGAACCAGGCTCAGTGTGAGCGGCCGTCTGCTGAGGCCGACTGGGGTTCAAGGAGACAGAAGCAGAGATACTAAAGCCAACTGTAAAAGGCGGCCCTGTCCAGGAAACACACAGCCAGGCAGACGAGCTCTGAGCCAGCTTCCATGTAAGAGGATGAGAAGGGCACATCCAGCCAGTGACAGTCAGAGAAATAGGACTACACTGGAAAAACAGGCGGCTCTCCAACATCTATAAACAAAGGTGTTGATGGCACTCGGCTGCACCTCTGTAAAATTGTAGGTGACCGCAGACAGGAGGCCTCTGATTGGTCAAATCTACATCCGCTCTACAGTATATATATTTCCTGTTTGGTATCTTAAAGGCTTGTTTTGTTTGTATGACCGCCATTGTGAAAAGCGACTAGTGAAGATGGGCCAGCTAGAAGAGCGAGGTGTGTGAGAACACTGGGACCCTTTTTCCACCTGGATCCCTGCTCTTTTTCGCCCTCGTCCCTCCGTTGTGGGATAAAAAGTCCCCAATTCCTCACCGCCTCGGCCGTATCTAGACCCACAGCTGATTGTCCTTCTTGCGTTGTGGTGTGGAATAACACAAACCACGCTTCAATATTGGGCATAAATCAAAAATATCTGCGACAAGCTTACTGAGTCACACTTCTGTTGGAGGAGAACCAGCCTTTTAGTGGGGTGCTGGTGTGAAGAGGGGGTTTGCTTGTTTTGGTCACTGAACAACCATCTAAAAGGCGCCGATGGCTCAAAAGTAGCAGGAAAAAAAATCACGTTTTTGTTATTTCTTTGAGCAGATCAACAGGGATATAAGGACAGAGCCCTGTGGTTCTTCATGGTTAATATTTTTTATGAAACACAAAATATGCTATTGCAAATCTAAGTCCTTCAATCTGCTTTTTTATTTATTTTCTCATTATAATTATATGTCAAATAAACCGTAGCACATTCTTATAACCCAGTCAGTAAGAAAATCCAATTCAATGACAGAAAATTTTAATGTCTTCCATTTTAACGCTTACATTTCTGTAAAATTTTTATTTATTTTTTTTACCCTTTAAATTTCAGCGAAATGCTTTTAGATAAATACTTTTAATTTTAATTATTTAATTAAGCTATAATTATTTGTTTTAAATGTTTTGGTCCTTAATCAGATTAAAAAATATTCACCTTTTATACATCACCTATTAGAACAGGCATCATCTCAAGGTACTTTACGGAGGCAATTCAATTGAACTATACAGTCAGATGGCTTTAAAGTATTCTAACTAAAGAAACCAGCTGATGGTCCAGCTTTAACTTCACAGGAATCGTGTCTCCTGAATGAGCATTTGGAGACAACAGATATTTCCTTGCTTTGCAGCAATCTTGAACTGTGCATGTATGCAGCGACAATGGAGAAGAAAAATCAGCCTTAGACTTAAACTTTATTTAGTGGACAAACTGATAGTAAAGAACTGGAATAGTCCAGCCTTGAAGTAACCAATGTATGGACTGCTTTCTTTGCACAATCCCTTATTAAACTTGTTTGATATGGGATTTAAATGGCAAGTCCTTTTTTTTTTTTTTTTTTTACATTATTGTCTGAGAGCAATGTAGTGCCATCCAGATGAAATAACAGACGAATCAGCATCTTTTTCAGAAACTCTGGTCTTGAATCTAATCACTCTAAGGCCCCGTCCACACGAAGTCAAAACGAA